GTTTAGTTCATGAATATACAGTACTTCTTTCAGATTATAAGAGTCTCCAACAACTTTGGTACATCCTGACAAATCAAACAAAATTAGAAAATCAGACAGAATTTGTGCTGGATACAAATAGAATAAAGCCCATATCCCCAACCTCAGAAGAATCTTCCCTGCTCTACCAATATAGCAATGTTTATGTCCCACACTTTGTAGTTCTTTTGCCAATGTAATTGTTCTGAGGACAGATGTAAATCGGGTTAGATAACCAAAATTGATTTCATATCGGGCCCTCAAGAATACAAAGGCAAAATAAAATATAGGCTCCAATTAAAGAAAGACCATGTACAATCCATTCTATCACAGACTAACCCATTAATTAGCCTCCTGAGGGAAGTTTCTGCATAACTACTCTTGATTCCAAACGTCCATCATCAAAAATCTATAATGTTCAGACGTCCTAAAATCTACATAACTCAATCCTGTCCTGCTAGTTGTCATCTATATTTTCCTTCCCCCTTTATCCCAGTAGAACAATAACCATTATGTCCTGTGAAATAAGTAATCATTTCATCTCATTTCTATGGACTTCATACTGTTAAGGATAAACAATAAGGAGTACAGAGGACCCTACATAGAATGAAGGCCAATTTTCCATTCTATATGCATAGGAATCTGGGACTCTGTTAAAATATATTCCAGAATAAAGAGCTACTATATCAAGATATTTATTATGATAATGTTTCAGATTATTGCAGATTATTAAACAACAATTTTGTAAAGCTTTATAAAACTTGTGTAGCAATATCTACTGTAGCATCTGAAGGTTCTGCTTAATTTTATTAAAATACTTATTAGTCATCAACAACAAAAACAACTTGCATTTATATAGCGCCTCTCACACAGGGTAGCATCCCAGAGCTGAGGATAGAGCCCTAGGGTACACCACGGTGAACGGGTGGAGGCTGGAGGAGAAACCGTTTGAAGAGACAAAGTGAAGGCTATTTGTTAGGTAGGACTCGAACCAGGCTAGTGCAGTCCCACTAACGTGGATGAGGATAGCGTGGTCGACTGTGTCGAACGCAGTGGAAGGGTCCAGGAGGTCAAGAAGGCAGATGGAGCCCTGGTCACAGAGAGAGAGTACATAGTTTGTGACCTTGACAAGCGGCGTCTCTGTGCTATGGGCAGAGCAGAAATCAGACTAGAGGGGCTTAAGAAGGGAGTAGAGGGAGAGGCGTGAGCAAAGCTGGTTAGCGACCACATGTTTCAGAGCTTTGGCAAGAAAGCACAGGTTGGAAATGGGACAGTAATTTGTGAGGTTGGAGGGTCAAGGGTGTGTTTTTTGAGGAGGGGATGACAGTAGTTTTAAGGAGAAAGGAACAGAACCTGAGGAGAGTGACTGGTTGACTGAGTCAGCCAGCAGGTGGGAGAGGAGGGGGAGTTGGCTGACAGTAATTGGGTAGGAAGGGGGTCGAGGCAGCAGGTAGTGAACTTCATCTAGGAGATGGTGGTTGAGTGGGAGTGGGGAGTAATCGGGACAAAGGATTGTAGGGAGGGGCGAGTGGTAGGGGTTATGGCGGAAGGAGGGCGTAGTTTAGACGGTCTGGGGGGGGGTGCGGAAGTGGACATAGGCGGGAAGGATGCAGCCAAGCCGATATTTTTCAATCTTGGACCCGAAGAAGTCTAATCTTTTTAACACTAAACAGAAACTTCAAAACAGAGAAAATTGCTGCACAGTTCAAAACGCTAAACTTGGTAAAAATGTTTTGTGTTGAATTGGTCGATGGGAGACTTACAATTTATCAAACAGAATGAATTGGCAGGTTGCAAAGAAAATCTAACAATTGCTCCTGAATTTAATAAAATACAAAGTTGTAAACACCAGTATGCTTAATTGAGGGTGACCTGCTTCATGTCAGGCTCTTCGCTCTATGACAAAGATCTGTGACTAAACTGTTAAAGAATTATGGTATCAAGTGAGTAGTTGTGGAACCACTTGGCAATAATTATCGCATTTCAATAGTACTCCTTCTGTCATGAGAACTAGTGCAAGCGCATCACCAAATCCTGGTATGTAACTTTAGATGGACAAATTTTAAGGGCATAAGGACTAATCTTTTGAGCATCCTTCAAAACTATGCGGAGATGCCAGGAAAAGTGCAGAAGGAGCAAATTACTGCTCCCAAATAAATCAACAAGAAATTTTAAAGGGTTATGAAAAGGTAGATAAGTAGGTGTAGGAGAATATAATCATTCAGCTGAGTATAAAACCGTTCAAGAGAAGGTAAATATTAAAATATTGGGGGAATCAAGAGAGATCCATAAAGCAACATAGTTGCAGCTGTCAAATATAACACCAAATGTCTTCCAACATTATAAAAGTCAGAAGGTAGTCAAGGAGAAAGATAAAACCCTAGGGGACTGAAAGAATGTTGGAAAAAGAAACTAAACTAAAGAAAAACATTAAAATATTAAATGATGACTTCTTGGAGGATATCACAATGGAATATGTGATTCTATATCTAACAAAATTGTGTTAGATTGAGGGTTTTGCCATGAACAAAGCAAAGATTCGAGATAGACTCAAGTGGCTGAAAACCAACAAAGTCTTTAAACAGACAAAATATACCTTAGAGTACTTGAACAAATATTCTGAGGGAGTCTGTCAACATTGGGGAAGTTCTAACAGAACCTCTGGTATCAGACAGATGTGATTTCCCGATTCAAGAGGTATGATTGAATCATACCTGACAACTACAGGCCCATTATTCCAACTTTAATAATTGGAAAACAAATGGAATCAATTTTTAGAAGTAAAATGGAAGATTACCTGGATGAAAATAAACTGATATATGACAGTCAACATGTCTTTAGAAGGTGTAAATCTTTTTGACCACACCTCATAGAAGGTTTGACAGTTAGAAGCTATACAACAAACTATCTGACTCCCAAAAGTCCTTTGACGAAACCACACAAGACAATCTGTTACAAACTGAAATTTGATTATCAAGGTTAAGCCTCAAGGATCCATGCTTGGATTCATTCCTGTTCGAAATTGCCTGCATTTATAAACTCAGTGAAAATTAGTTAACTTTGCAGATGAACTACGTTTGGGGAACAGTGTAACGGACACAAGGGCCCCAGTGGCAGGAAGGCTTGGAGGTGGAAATTGCTGTGTCTTCTTGAGGAGGTGCTGATGCCTCATCTCTCACTTGGTGCTGGGGCTGGGCTGAGAAGTGGGGGGAGACCCTGGCCTGGCCCCAGGCTGGGCAATATGAAATTCAGCCCACATGGCTGGCCCCAGGTTAGTTATTGGTTAGAGTGCGTGGGTCTGTAAGAGGGGACCCCAGCCACGAACCCAGGTGCCTGCATCCCTCCATGGATGTTATGTTGTTGTTGCTATTCTGGGTTTTCCCCTGCCTTAGAATAAAGTTGTATGATATGAGAGTCTCTACGTGCGTCCATATCTGCCTGGCTCGGTGGGTCTGAGCAACAAGGGTAACAAAGAGAGCATCAATAGGGTATGTATCTAGCTGATCAAAGGAAATCTAGTTCAAAAGAGATAAAGGTATCTTGGAATCAAAAATTGGAGGCACAAGAAGGTGAAAGAATTTGTATTTTTATAGCATATAAAATCACGAAACATCTCCAAGTGTTTCAGAGTAACTATCATTATATTAAATGTAGTGACTTTTTTTTGCAGGCACAACCATTGTAGCCATTTGACACACAGCAAAGTCCCACAAATAAGCAGTTGATGTATAATTAATTCCTAGAATTAGTTACTGCCTACAATGCATTTAAGTCATTCTGGAGATGTTTTTTCTGATGTCCTATTATCAATTTAAGGGTTTCAAAAAATTATTATTATTATAATTTACACTTAGATAAAAATTGTACTCTACAGCATAATCCATTTTCCAAATAATTTTAAACATACGTTATTGCTCATTTTATGCAGCACAGATTACAGATTACAGATAAACTACAGATTATCAATATTTTGAGTGATGAAATATTCAACTCTTTCAAGATTATATAATTTAAAAATCTGTTACAGGTATATTGTAATGAACCATAGACTTTTTGAAATGTTACAAAAGAAACAAACATTATTTGAAAACGTAATCAATGGTATGTTATCAGAAATAGTTACAATAATTAAATAAGCAACTGTGCCAAACTAATACGATTGTTTCCTTATTTATTTTCATTTTACTTGTCGATGCTCTATAACTTAAAATGCAAAAAAGGACCATTTTTCAACCGCACTTTACCAAATCCGCTACTTTTGCATATATTGCAAATATATGCAATGTATTATATTGCAAATATATGCAATGTATTATATTGCAAATATATGCAATGTATTATATTGTTCAAACTTGATAGCAATTAGATAGGATTAAACAGGCTGCCATTTTAAGGAGCAGGAACCTGCTCATAAAGATCATCTTCCAAAGGATTTCAGTGATCTGCTAATAGCAGACACGTGGATTTATTTTTATCATCTACCTATAGAATTCAAGAAAAGTTTAGCCAAAATTATATTTCATAACATAAACAGCATTCAAAGATCATCCAGTACTGCCGAAGCAAAAATGTCACAAGGGGTGGAAAAACACACACATCTTATTACTGTTTTTAATCAATGATGTAGGGAAACGTTTAACAACCAGCTGCGAAAATGTGCTTAAAGTGATGTTTAGCTAAAAGTCAAATGATTCCCCACTCGCAGGGTGGTCAACAATGACGTCTCAAACTTCTAACCAAGCAATGGTTTGCGTGTTCAGTCCCAATTACTGCATGGAAATGCTGCCAAGCCTTCAAACCCACCTAACATGCAGAGACTCAACAAGTATCCAGTGACAATAGCTCACCGTCAACACATAAAGGTCACATACTTCCTGATTTCTCACCAAATTATATATGCACATGAAAAATATCAACTCCAACAAATGCACCCAAAAAAAAAGGGGGGGGGGAGGGATGGGGGAACTTGAACTTGAACTTACCAGATTGGAATTGGTTGCATTCGAGTCATCTTCTGGAAAAGGTATGTAGACAGCTAAGGCCACGCAATTGGCGAAAATGGTGAGGAGAATGATTATTTCGAATGGCTTGAGATCAGAGTTAAGGCGTCAAGATTCACTCCCAACCCAATGCCTCGCCCTCCTGGAAGCAATTATTTCCACCTTCGTCGTTTGAAATTAAACATTCCTGTGCAATTCTAGCAATGCCTAAAATGAGTCGACAAATCAATCTTTTGGAGGAAAAAAAAAAGGGAGTGAGAACCCGGAGTCGGTGTGGCATTTGTTTCCAGATGCAATCAATATCCCTGTGGGGCATTTCGTGAAGGAAACCCCCCCCCCCCAAAAAAAAAAAAAGACCACCGGTTTTACTGGAATGCAACTTTCTACGCATTGATCGGGTAATAATAACTTGAGAAACAAAATGATGTTTCTCTTTTAAGAGAACGGAAGAACCAAAAAGTGGGTATCGCGGTGGCAATTTGGCTGCAGTTTTTAGTGCAGCAGTTTTAGTGATCTTTCGGTTCTCTCCCGTTTTTTAAAAGGATATTTCCACTCCACTGTGTTAATGTGTTAAAAACACCTTATGCATCCGTCTCTGCGTGTGTTTATGCGAGTGCTGCGCTCGTATTTTGTGTGCGGTTTGCGTTTAAGCGCTTGTGCCCGACTCGGGCGCGGGTACGTGTGCAATCCGGTGATGGATGCGATGCTGATCTTTCGGTTCTCTCCCGTTTTGTTTTGTTTTGTTTTGTTTTTTTAAAAAAAAAGGATATTTCCACTCGACTATGTTAATGCACGCTCTCCTGATGGGGTTTTTGAGAGTCAGGCAGAAGAGAGCCCGCGGCGGTCGTGTGGTGGCGGCGTTGGCTTGTTTCTTCTGTTTGCTGTACGGTTGCCTCTTCCTTTGGGTGGAGTTGGCGGTGGAGACCGTGTTGCCCCCCAGCATCGCGGCAGCCTTGGCTTGTCTGGCCGCGTCGATGGCTGCCTGCCAGGACAGGGCAGCCCCCGGTCCGGGGATGTGCTCCGGTGCCAAACCGTCCGTGTTGGCGTTGGAGTGTCCATGGTCAAGTGCTGGCCGACTGCTGCCGTAGTTTGCGCCTGAAAGCAAACACCAAACCCCCCCCACCCACCACACACCCCGGAAATCAAAAACACGCACCGCAACACGTTTGCATTTGCATTGCAACGAGAAAAACACACACACACACACACACACACACACCAGAGAAACCGACAGCCATCCCTCGCTGAGCCCATTCCACCTCGACTCGGTGATTCATTTGACAACTTAATCCAAAGAAAATCAACCGATCTAACCGATTGGGAATGTTTGATTGGGGACTGACTACCGAGGAAACATCAGCAACATCGGGTCCAGATAACTTTCCATACAGATCTGGGAGCAATCGGGGAGGGGGGGGGGAGGGGGGGAGGGGGGGGGGGGCGCACGGCTGACGGGAGCATTCGGTGAACGTGGTTACAAATGCTCGAGAGAGAGAGATTGAGAGAGATTGAGAGAGAGAGAAAGAGAGAAGATCGAAAAGAATCGGAGATACCGACTGCAACTTTCAATGATTCCTACTCGGTGCACAACGTTAACCGTTCTTTCTCAAATAATAATTGCAAAGGAGGGTGGTGGGGGGTGGGGGGTGGGGAGTGGGGGGTGGGGGGGTGGGGGGGTGGGGGGGTGGGGGGGGACAGTCAAGAGAAGCAATTTGCAAATTTCCACTCCACCGTTTAAGAAATGATTCGTTCTTGGCACACATTTAACATAGCTCTGAAGCCCAAATAAGATGTAGGTCATATAGCACCTTTCCCGTGTATTCTCTAAACAGTCTCAGCATTCAATTCGGCCTTTAACTAAATTATGGTTTATGTTTTTTTTTTGTGGGGGGGGGGTGGGGGGTATGTGTGTGTGTGGGGGGGGGTGGGGGGTATGTGTGTGTGTGGGGGGGGGGTGGGGGGGGGGGTAGAGTCTGTGCCTTTCTTGTTATAGTGTTCGGACAACTTGTTCACTTAATCGCATTTTAATTTCGTGTGAAACACATGTGCAGCAGCAGTGTTCCCAACGGAATATTTTACCATACATGACTACAGGTTACTCTTTTTTTTTGGGGGGTGGTGGTGTGGGGGGGGGGGGGGGGGGGTGGTGGTGGGGGTGGTGGTGGGGTGGGGGGGGGGGGTGGTGGTGGGGGGGGGGGGGGTTTGCTCTAAGTCGTCGTATAAAACATTCTTCCAGCAAACTGTGCCTATCATCAATACGAGTGAGTGTACGATCCCCACACACCTAACCTGATGTGAGGGAAAACAGATTGCTGATGCTCTTCTTGTCCCCCCCCCCTCCCTCTCCCCCCCCCCTCTCTCTCCCCTTCCTTACCTTGATGGTTTTCCTCGGGAATATACATCCTCTTGTTTTCATTCACCATTTAAAAAGGCCGAATTTTTTTTCTTCCACAGCGGCAGTTTATTACCTGATCCCCATTATGACTACGAAACGCAAGAAGCTGCTCCTCTGTGCGATGCTGTGAGCCTCCCTCTCCCTCTCCCTCTCCCCCTCCCTCTCCCTCTCTCTCCCTGCACATCCTGACTACATCCGGGGGTTTCACCAATAGCACATCACACACATCACATTCCGAACCGCTTTCCACTCTCCGCTTCAATGGAAATGATGGGAGAGAGAGAGAGAGAGGGAGAGAGAGGGAGAGAGAGAGAGTATCCAGGACAGCTCTCTGTGGGTTAAATCCCGATTTCCACACGGCGAGACCTCGAGAAACAAACCCCCTCCAACACAGGGGGCGAGAGGGACACTGGAGAAAGTGGGGGAACAGGAGAATGAGCCTTTCCCCTGCGCTGACTTGGGGAGGAGGGAGTGGGGGGGGGGAGTGGGGGAGTGGGGGGTGTGATGGTGGTGGGGGGAGAGCTCTGAGCTCTGAGCTCTATCTCCTGACTGTTTCCAGATGTTCCTACGTGTAAAATGTTCTCCTCGGAGCCTGGAAACAGTTTGATGGAATCGTGACGTGAAATAAGCAAGTGGACACGGTCCCTGTGAGCCAAGACACACAGGGAGCTCACTCCGCTTTTCTTTGCCTATAAATGCTGTGTCTGAGGAGTGGAGGGGGTTTTTTTTTTTCCTCTCTTCATTTAACTTGTTGATTTTTTTTTTGCCATATAACAATTTCCTCCCTTGCATTGCAACCCGGGAACCCACATCATATACGCAAAAAATACTATGCTCCACGGAACGCAGCTCGCAAATAATATTTATTTAGCTACTATTTATCACCACTGGGTTAAATCAAGAACATTTCTGCTTTTCTCTCTCTCTCTCTCTCTCTCTCTCTCTGCAATGCACTGAAGCCAGGAGTGCAAACATCCATTAATCCTGGAGCTGAATTTTGATTTATGTAACTCACAGTTGGAAACAACAGCGTCTCGAAAAAATAGCATTAAGTTCAAATTCCGGACTCCAATGGATGTGTTTTTCGGTTAATTGCTAAACACGAATGACACAACTGGAATCTTGCGCTCTGGATCATTAGGAATGGCGTGTGACAGCCTTCCTGATCAGTTCAATTTGCGCAATGTTTCTGAGCCCTTATTAACCTGTTTGAACAACTGGAGGAAAACGCACTACATCAGCCACTGAGGGCAGATGTGGGGGGGTGGAGGGGGTGGGGGGTGGTGACTGGGTGACTGGGTGGGTGGGTGGTGGGTATAGTTCCAAATTTCAGACCAAAATAAACAAACATCTGCTCTTGGTCAGATAAGGTCTGGTACATGACATGTGTTGCTGTTGGGATGTGGCCCATTTAATCAATGAATCACACGGGACGAGGATGAACATGGTTTAAGCGTCAGATATTCAACAGTTGTTTGGTTTCATTTTGGAGTTTGGGAGTCATTTCTTTTCTTTTTAGGATCTCATGCAAAAGACAGCGGGAAATACAACGGAATAACGTTAAACTCACCAAAATACACGTAAAGTAATTTTGCTCATTTTAGACTGATATTTTTTTCTGGATTAAGTGTTTATAAAGCTGTATTCCAATTGAGGGCGATTAACTACATCAGGGCTTTTTTTTGTTGGGTGGGGGGATATAAAGTCATAATTGCCTGTTAAATATAATGGAGTTATTCAAATAGATTAGACATAGCATAACGGATATCGTGAAATAAATGGATAAAATGCCAATTGTATTATATTGTTACATTACATTATTTTTTAGAATAACAGAGACATAGTAACATCTAATCAAAAATCCTGGTCTTTTAGATATGGAATAATATATATTTCGGAGCATTTTATTCTGGCAACTAATTCGTAGCAAAACCTAATGTGAATATGGACATGTTCTTTGCAGTGTATTCATGTCGCTGATATAACGATGTTGATGTTATTACTCCAACTTTATCAACAAATAACTTAAGGCCTTTATATGATATATTATTAAATTATGACAATGATTTCTAAATAAACAGTAATGAAGGTGGAACAGACCAGATAAAAGAAAGGTAGCAATGCTTTAAGGTTGTTTAAAAAAATCAAAGTGAACGAATAAAGGATGGAAAGTTGAATCATATTAAATTCCCTTTTATGTTAAGTAAAGGTCTGTCACTCAGATATTGGATGATTTTAACATTTTAACTAATGTGCATTTATTTATTACGTCAATGGTAAATGTCAAGACATCTGAAAAGCGTCCGATTGAGGCAGGAAAACGAAAAAAAAAAATTATAAAAACATAACAGTATTTGGGAGCAATAATGGGAAAGCAATAAAACATAACAAAATAAAGTGGGGAAAACAAGATGTTACATACGTACTGGGAACACCTCAGTACGAGGATATGAAGGCAAACTCCACATGAAAAACAACATTACATCAATTTGATGTGATGATGTTGATACGGAAATGAAGAGGGCAATATTGGAGAAGAGTGACCTTCAAGTATGGAGTCTCCACATCTTGGGAGTGAGTTGATTTTTGCTTCTCTGGAGGAAGGGAACAGCTCGGCAGCGCCGCACAGGGAATGGCAGGAGTCAGCAGCTGCAGTGACCACAGTCAATTCACAGTAAAAACTACCTTTTGACATGTTTGGCCACATTGAAAACAAACCAAACGAGGACATTTCCCGCACCCCAGCCTCCCAGCAGGGCGAAGAAAACCTGTACCGTTTGCTAAAAGGCGAAATAATAATAATCCTCCTCCTCCTCCTCATAATAATAATAATCCTTGTACTTGACATAATAATAATCCTTGCATTTGATATCGCGCTGTTCACGTCTTCTAGACGTCTCAACGCGCTTCGCAGAATGTACTGTCAAGTGAATTGACTGTATATTTGTGGGCGAAACGCGGCAGCCAATTTCGCACAGCAGTGTCTCATAAACAGTCGTGGATTGAAGTGACCAATTTTATTTTATTTTTTTCTTGAGGGATTATTATCAGGCGTGTGGAGTAAGGAAACTTGCCCAAGGTTTCGCCCTGCTGGGAATTGAACCCAGGTCTCTCATTTGCTAACCACTGAGCTACAGGACTGCACAAAGGGGAATCTTTATGTAGCGACACTTACCTCATCCACCAATAACTTAAAAATGCCACTGGATTTTTTCTATTATTATTGTCTATTATTTTCGGGTTTTTCTATTATTGTAACAATAATAATAATCTTTGCATTTGATATAGCAGCTTATCACGTCTTCGAGAAGTCTCAAAGCGCTTCACAGAATATATTGTAAAGTGGATTGACTGTATATTTTGTGGGCGAAACGCTTCAGCCAAAGCAGTGTCCACAAACAACAGTCGTGGATTGAAGTGACCAAATTATTACTATTCTTCTTTAATAATCTCTTCTCTCAAATTACCACCCCGTCTCCAACCTCCCTTTCCTCTCCAAGGTCCTGGAATGAGTTGTTGCTTCCCAGCTTCACTCCTTCCTCTCCCGCCACTCTCTTCACAAACCCCTCCATTTGGGTTTCTGTGCTGCCCACAGCACAGAAACAGCGCTGGTCAAAGTGACAAATGACATTCTGTCCACCTGTGACCAGGTCTCCCTCTGCGTCCTCGTCCTCCTTGACCTCTCTGCTGCCTTCGACACCATCGACCACTTTATCCTCATCCACTGCTTCTACTCTCACCTCAACCTTCACGGGCAGTGTCCTTGACCCGTTCAGATCATACCTCTCACACCGCCTCCACTTTATCTTTACAAACGGTTTCTCCTCTACCCCCCGGACTGTCTTGTGCGGTGTTCCTCAGGGCTCTGGCCTTGGTCCCTTCCTCTTCAATATCTATATTCTCCCTCTTGGTGACATCATCTGCAGACATGGGGTCAACTTCCACACGTATGGGGATGACATCCAACTGTA